ATGAGCCTGCTCTTCCAGTACAGGAAGCTAAAGCAGGAGTTTTGAGAGTTTGTGACTAATCAGGTCTGCACTGAAAAATGTCTCAAAAAGTGAAAACAAAAACCAAGATAATAATGTCTGTTCTGGCTAAAGACTGCACCGATCTGTGATGATGCCAGTAATCCATTCCATTTCACACTGGGGATGGGCAGCTTGGCTTCTGTTCCCGGCTCTGCTGCTTTTCACCTTCATGACTGTGGTTATGACGATTTAATAACAACACAGAAAAGACATACATCATGATGCCAGACGTGAGGTTAGCACACCATAAATGGTCCTTACTGTCCGTCACAGGGGTCGTTGCCTGCTACAGAGACAGACATTCTGGGCGGTGTCTGCCTCTCTAGATTTCCATCAGCGTCTGCTGCACCTGTCAGGACAAGTTTTCTACATTGCGGCTGCTATGAGCTAATTGTGTCCCTGAAATGTATATGTTAGCTGGAAGTGGTGGCTTACACTTGCGATCTCACCACTCAGGAGGTTGACATAGGGGAATTGTCAGCTTGGGCTGTAAAGTGAGATCCTATCTCAAAAAATAAAATGAGAATTAAGTTTTGGAAACTTTCCTATTACCTCCTAATGTGACTGGATTTAGAGACAGGGCCTCTCAGAAGATAATTCAGGTAAAAGGAGGTGCTGGGTGAGCCCCACTCCCATAGGGTTGGTGTGCATGGAAGAAGAGAGAATTAGTACACGGGTCTGTGGACACACAGGGGAGGGGCCATGTGAGAACAGAGAGGATGGCCACCTGAAGCCAAAGGAGAGGATCCCAGATGAAACCAACCTTGTTTCAACAGTGTTCTTGGCCTTCCAGCCTCCAGAACTGTTGAAACTGAGCTTCTGCCTAAGCACCCTATCTAGAGTATCTTCTGGCTGACTTACACAGCTACCCTCTTCAAGTTCCAGGCTCCTTTAGTGTCTCTTTAGTGACTGTGTCCTGCTAGTGGCGGGACATGACACGATTCCCTAAGATTTCCTAAAACCTACCTGAACCTTTATGCTGTTTTTTTTTTTAATTAAACTCTCATTAAATTACTCATTGTTTTATTTCACTGAGAGGATCCCTACTGTGGATATCGCTCTATATAAATAAAACACTGATTGGCCAATAGCCAGACAGGAAGTATAGGTGGGACTAACAGAAAGGAGAATGGAGGAAACAGGAAGAGAAGAGAGAGACTGGCTGGAGCCGCCACCAGGACAAGGAAGATGTAAGGTACCAATAAGCCACGAGCTGCATGGCAAAGTATAGATTAATAGAAATGGGCTAAATATAAGAGTAAGAGCTAGACAATGATAGGCCTGAGCTAATGGCCAAGCAGTTAAGTTATGTAAGAGTCTGTGTGATTATTTTATAAGTGGGCTCCGGGACTGGCGGGACTTGGTGGGAGCTGGAGAGAAATTCTCCAGCTACAGATCCCGATGTATCGTTTGTAACACATAGCTGTTCCCAAACACAGGCTTTGGAGGATAAGGGTCAGGGGCACATTTAAATTCCCCCTGAACTGCCCCTGACTAGGGGCGTTTTTAAGGTTAAAAACCCTGGCTATTCTCCAGGGGCAGTCAGAATCTGTATGTTTACATTTGGAAAGGAGAAAGTAAGATCTTGTATGTTGCCTCATGTCTCATGATTTGATTTTTACATCACAGTTGCCCCAGCCCACTGCCTTATTCTGGAAACGAGAAAGTGAAATGTTAGTCTAGAGGGATGTGAAGTCGAATTGCATAAATTGTAAGCATCTTTGAAAAAAAAATAGGCTCTTCTATTTATAGGAAGTATTATAGGAAAAAACATTGAAATAAAAACTACTAAACAATGCTAAGCCACCTCTTTATTCTTTAATTTGTAGGTATTCCTCTTTAGCCTCCAACATCTGTATTTCACTGATTTTTCACTCTCCTTTGGAATTCACTGCTGCTGAATGTCTAGGAGAGGCTTCTGGGAAGGAGGTAATCTTAATGTTTGAGGAGAGCCAGCCCTCCGAGTAGCAACCTGTGGTATTTTGTTTATCTTAAGGAAGAATGTTCATGGCTTTAAGCTGTGTTGTTTCAGAGGCTGGCAGGGAGACAGAAAGATTATGTGCTTGAGAATTTGGGGCCCAAGATTACAATGGACCTACAGGGGTGAAGTAGGGCCATCTCTCTTAGACAGAGCCGAGGCCATGTCTTCCCTGTCCAGAAAACCACTCCTGAAACAAGGTAGAGAAGGGAAGCTGTGTGTAGTGGGGTCCCACGGCTCTATTTCAAGCTTCATATTCTGGTACAGAGTGGAGGGTCTGGTTTGGTAAAAAACCACCTCGGTGAGCTTGCAGCCTCCTGTACCACAGGTGGCATGTTGGTGGTGGGTGTGGTTGGTGAGCAAGGGCAAAGGCAGAGGATACAGCAAAAGCCAGGCCTCCCCTTCAGCTAGGACCAGCAGGACCAACAGTGGAGGTTAGCACTATGGACGTTTGGAGGAAAAATGTTGGAGACTTCGGGCAGTTTAAAATGTGGTGGAATAACGTGAGTGAGGCCCTGGCCTTGACTCCCCGTACCAAATAAATAAATAGGTACCCAGAATTTAATTATCCAAATCCATATGCATTTAGCTCATGATCACATAAATAAAAAAATCAACTGTTCATTGATTGGCTTGATCTGTTTGGGAGGCATCTAGGCAGTGGGACCGGGTCCTGTGCTCATTGCTGTTTGAGTTGGCTGTTTGAAACCTGGAGCTTATGCAGGGACGCTTGGCTCAGCCTGGGAGGAGGGGACTGGACCTTCCTGGACTGAGTCTACCAGGTTGATTACAGTCCTCGGGGGAGGCTTTGCACTGGAGGAGGTGGGAATGGGGGGTGGGCTGGGGGGAAGGGGAGGGGGCAGGAGAGGGGGGGGGAACAGGGGAACCCATGGCTGATACGTAGAACTGAATGGTATTGTAAAATAAAATAAAAGGAGAAAAAAAAATCAACTGTTCATACTTTATCATCATCATCACTATGTTCAACCGAACTGTTCAGTTTTCTCTTTGAATCAAATACTTACTGCCGTTTGGAAGCCGTTCACCAACAAAAAGTTCACCAATCTCACCACGTCCGTGGCTGCGTCCACAGAATAAGTGATAAAGACTTTCCCTAAGAGAAAAAACGTCAGGGCTGTTGAAACGGGTCAAATCCATCTGTAGCACCCAGCACTCCTAAGTGGTATGCATGGCCCTTTGTGTTGGAGGGTGGCCTGAGAGCGTCTGCCTGCAGTGGTGTGGATCGCCATCCTCTGTGACAAGGGCTGGGACCCGTCCAGGACAGAAGGGACACAGGAGAGTCCTGGCAGGCTGAGGGCAGCCTCAGAGGTCTTCTGGAACAGCACATGAGATGTTACCAAGTCTACCACCCACAGCCTGCGAGGCCTTTAAGCTCAGGTCACTGCCTTGTTTCTCAGAGACGCACTTGGCCCTGTGCCCAAGGAAAACACTCTCCCAGCAGGCTAAGAAGCTAAGGCTTGCTGAGGGGCCACCCAGCAGTGTCTGCTTTTGATCTCAGGATGCTCTCTGCTGCCCTGGACGGTTGTCTGACAAGACCAAGTAGGGAGTTGAGCGAGAAAGTGTTTCCATGCTCTCCCCCAGGCGACTCTTCTTTGGAGAAAGGTCAGGAAGCAGGAGCAGACTGACGCCCACCCAGATCAGAAATGGGAGTGCAGCTTCAGCTGTTTAAAGGGGAGCCACTGCCTCAGGGCAGTCCGGCATCGCAGGCATCCTCTTTCCTCCCCAAGCCATGGGCAGAGCTGCTCTGACAAGCTGACCCTGCCCAGCCAGAACCACAGTTTTCTCAGACTAAAGTATTGGGGAAATTACTTGGCTAGCAGCTTAATGTGGTAGACAGATAATCTGTACTGTTGCCTTTTAGTCTGGAACGAGCCAGTTAAATCTCAAGAAACCCTGAGGCAGAGGATAAAGAAGAAAGTTGCAGAAGAGAAGATGAGTCTGTATGCATTCGTCTGGCTGAGACTCTTCAGAACAGAAACACGCCTCTCAAATAGAAGTGTGTGCAGTGTATCCTGGCGGTAGCAACCAAGCAGCCAGGCGTATGTATGGGCAGCCTGACCCTTAGTCACCTCCGTATGTACTAACTTTCCTAGATTACAGGCCAGGCAGAATATTGGGACCGTACACCATGTAAGACCATGTCTGTCTACTCAGATATTTTTCTGATTGAAGTGTGTAAAATTTTAAGGTGCTCAGAAACAATTTTTTTTTTTTGCCTGAAAACCATGGCCCTCATTGTCAAAGAAGTCTTTTGGAGCTGTAAGTGATGACCAGTAGAGATTCCACAAGCAATTAGCAAAGCAAAGGCCTCCAGTTTGGTTCTGAGTGTCCCAGATCTGGAAAGAGTGAGCCTCTCCAGCAAAATAATTCATTAGCAGTGACTGATTTCTTAAGATTTCTGGAACTAAGAATCCTAACTGGCCTTACTCTCAGAACATTTTGGTAATATTTCAACATTTCTGGATCTAGCAGCAGAGTGTGGAAAACGAATCATCACCTGACATTGAACAGAATATTTCTTTAAACAAAAGGCTTAGTTTGCACTGGGGTGTGAAGCAGTATGGGAATGTGAGATGGCTGTGTTTTGGTTTGGTTTTTCCTTTTTCCAAGTAAGACTGCTCACTCCTACAGAAAATGACCTTGTTCTTGATAGCTGCTGCTATTTTACAGTGAGACACTGAGTTTCTACCCAGTGCCACATGGGCATCCGATCCATCTACCCAGGGGCACATCACTGAAGAGCAGCATTTAGAAAAGAAAAGAAATATGGGGGGAGGGGGTTCTTTGCTGTTTTCTACGTGTTAAGAAAAACCCAGTGGTAAGCAGTTTGGGAGCACTCCTTGTGAGGTTAGGATCACTAAAAACATCTAAAAACGGCTGGGTATTTTTAGAGTAAAAAGGGAAAAGGTAAATTTTGCTGTCTATGGAAAATATAACTGAGATTATGGATAAAGTGACTAAGCCAAACTCTTAAAGCAGAAAGCCTGACAAGAAGAAACCATGTTGCAAACAACTTACGTAATTCCTCTGGCAAATTGCTAGTTTTTAGAGTTCCTCGGGCTAGGGGGTTGCTAGGGGGTCTAGGCACAGCAGCTGGGGAGGGAGTCTGGGGACCCTGTGGTCTCAGCTCTGCAGGATGTTCCAAGGACGCCTCAGGAGCTCCAGCTCCATTAGACGGTGGGTGATAGAGCTGGTCCCTGCAAGGGAATAAGTTTACAGCCGGTTTTTATTTTCATTAGAAAGGCCAAGTTTGGGGAGACAGAAAGACTTCACACACTGTGGGCCATACCCACCCAGGAGCTCTCCTCTCTGTCTCCATTTCTTATCTGCCACAGAAGGGGGAAGAGTCCCATGAGGTTGCCTCTACAAACAGGTCAGCTGGCTGCCATATGTGAGGACCTGTGCTCAGGTCAAAAGAGGGAAGCAGGATTTGATTTCTCCATTCAAGGTCTGTCTAATTGGGAAAATAAATTCCATGTACGGGTCAGACAAGGTCACCGGCAAAACAAAATACTATGATGGGTGACAGAACGCTGATATTAAAGGCATTCAGGGCAAAAAGACACAACTTTTAGCTCATGATAACATTTCAAAAAGTTTCAAAAGTTTTTTGTTTTGTTTTGTTTTTTAAGCCACATAGGTTTAAAAGTATTTCTTTTCAACTCTGTCAGTGAAAGCCCTGACTGGTGACGTGGTCTTTATTGTGGTTTGGCCTGCCAGCATTCCTGGGAGCAGTGTGCCCAGGGGAACAATGGCATGAACTCCTGTGAGCGTTAGAAAACAAAGGACGTGCACGTCTTGTTTCTACCACTCTGGTTTCTCCTGACAAATAGCCACAGGTGTGTTTTCTGCAGAAGCATCCCCATGTGGCTGGATGTCGGGAACAAGGTGTGGCATCTCTTCTGCCACTGAAACTCTAGCAGGGGTGGAGTGGCCCTACCTTCTGCATCAGGTGCAGTTGTGCTGGAGGAGGGGGCAGCCTCTTAGTGGCTCCACTCTGGATCATCCCCTGAGCCTCCTCTAGCCTCCCATTCTATCAGCACACAGTTCCCCATATGAAGTCCCCTCTGCCTAGACTAGCTGAATGGGCAGGGAGGACGGCTCAGTTACAGAGGCACGTGCCGCCCAGGCTGGTGACCTGGGTTGGATCCTGGGACCTCTGTGGTGGACGGAGACAACCAACTCCCTGAGAGCTCCATCCCTGTGTGTGCCATGCCATGGCACACAAATGTGCACACACACACATACACACACACACACACACACACACACACACACACACACACACACACACAGAAGTAAGTGAATGATTAAAAAGTAACACAGCTAGAATGGTTTCTCTCTTCTGTAACTTCTAACTGGTAGGGAAATTAAAACTATACCTATAATGTTTTCTTCCTTTTAAAAAATCGAAGGCAAATACAGCAATATGTTAAAATCAGTGTAATGTTTCATATTATAAAAAGTTTAATGTTATGACTGTAAGTCTGTATATATACCCAATTTTAATAGATTTTTGCTTATGTTTTTACCCAAAAGTAATTTTAAAATTCTTAAAGTCTTATGTGATATGACTTAAATAAAACTTTAAAAAAAAAATCTCAACTACATTTCTAAAATTAGGATGTTTAGGGAATTTATATCTTCTATTTTCATAAATATTGAGCAAATGAGGCCTCTAAAAATATACTTTCAGCTGAGATTCATTTCTTTATTATTTATATTAAATCTTTTTATGCACAAAGTTGCTTCATGGTTATAAAAGATGATTACTCATTTGATAAATATTAAGGCCTTGATAATTATTCTGACTAATTTTAGGTCAACTTGACACAAACTGGAGTCATCTGAAAGGAGGGAGCCTCAGCTGAGAAAATACCTTCATAAGTGCTGGCGGTAGGCAAGCTTGTGAGGCATTTTCTCAATTAGTGCCTGATGGGGGAGGGTCCAGCCCATTGTGGGTGGTGCCATCCCTGGGATGCTGGTCCTGGGTGCTAGAAGAAAGCAGGCTGAGCAAACCACAATAAGCAAGCCAGTAAGCAGCACCCCTCCACGGCCTCTGCATCAGCTCCTGCCTCCAGGTTCCTGCCCTGTTTGAGTTCCTGTCCTGACTTCCTTTGATGAAGAACAGTAACATGGCAGCATAAGCCAAATAAACCCTTTCCTCCCCAAGTTGCTTTGCTCATGGTGTTTCGTCTCAGCAACAAAGTTGGTAACCATAACTAAGACAATCATGCTCAAAAACTCACATATAAATAATATCCTGAGAGTATTAATGGGAGTAAACTTCTGGTATTAATGTTCTGGTGGTTAGTGGTAGGAGAATTAGCTTTTTAGCTGGACGTTCTTCATCATCCTAAACTGATAATTCCAGGATATCAGAACAGGCTTAAATTGAAGCTATAGAAACATTTGCTGTGCAACACCTTTCAACTTTTCTATAAATCTAAATATTTTTCAAAATAAAGGCTTATTTTAGGACTGGGTATAGTGACTCATATCTGTAATCCCTGACACAGCATTGCTAGGAATTTGAGGCCAGTCTAGGCTGTGAGTTCTAGGCTAGCCTGGAGTAATCAGTGAGAGTTGATAGCTCAGAAAACAATAAACTTTTTGTTGTTGTTGTTGTTTTGTTTTTCAAGATAGGGTTTCTCTATGTAACAGTCCTGGCTGTCCTAGAACTTACTCTGTAGACCAGGCTGGCCTCGGATTCAGAAATCCACCTGCCTCTGCCTCCTGAGTGCTGGGATTAAAGGTGTGCACCACCGCTGCCTGGTAACAATAAAAAAATGTAAAAGTGTAAAATCCTAAGTGAAGCTCCAGGCTTCAGAATGTCCGTTCTAGCCGTCTAGAAGGTCATGGAGGTACACAGAGCCTGGGTTGGGCAAGTGCTTGTTAGAGTGGCAACTTTACTCTAGCTGTGGTTTTATTTGTGAGTTATTGAAAGCAATGGATTTTTTCATGTTTACCTTAAAAATTATGATTGCATCCCCTATTAAATACCAAACTGACTTGATAAAAAGACTTAGTTTTGTATGGTTTCATGAAATTTTACATATTTCTTGGTAGGAGTGTGTCTTGCTATGAAGTCCCATGTCACTTAGTTCCCTTATTTAAGCTGTGCGTTTCGGAAAGTGAAGGGTCTATCTGGAAGGAACTACAGAGATTTGTGGGCCTTGCAGTGAGGGGAAGCGGGCTTGGGCCTTGTTTGCCACTCTTAATAAAACTGACTTTTTTTCCCTTTGAATAAAATTTTTTTGGCTAATTGCCAATTTCTTTATCTCTGAAAAATCCACTTTAATAGGATTTTCAGATGTGATTCTGGTCTATAAAAACAGAATGCAGTTTTACTTTGAGTGCTACATGCAAGTTGTACTTGAAAAGAAGCAAACAGTTCATATTCTTTCTTTCCAGTTTTGTTCTAAAACAGGAAACTCCACTTGCTCCTGTGTGTTTTAGACACACAAGAGAAAAGGTAACCTTGAAGAAGAATTTGAAAAATAAAAACAGTAAGAAGAAAAACCACTAAGGGATGACTCAGGTAGAGGGTGAGCCTGTGCCCCCAGGGTGGGTTGACGGAGCGTGGTCCTTATTGTGGCAGCATATTGGAAAGAGCGGGGAACCTTTGAGATGGGCTGGACTTCAGGTCAGGTCTGGTGAGAACTGTAATTGAAGAACAAGTCCAAAGTTTGGCACAATAGTGCATGCTCTTTAGGAGACTAACTCAGGACGGTAACAGATTTGAAGCCAGCAAGGGTGACTGAGAGAGTTTGAAGCCAGGTTGAACTACTTTGTTAGAACCTATATTTAAAAAAAAATTAATTGCTAGGCAGTGGTGGCACACGCCTTTAATCCCAGCACTCGGGAGGCAGAGGCAGGCGGATCTCTGTGAGTTTGAGGCCAGCCTGGTCTACAGAGCGAGATCCAGGACAGGCTCCAAAGCTACACAGAGAAACCCTGTCTTGGAAAACCAAAACAAAAAAAGGAAAGGGGTGGGGGGAAGGCCTGGTTCCCTCCTTGGCTTCTCTCTCATCATATCATGCCATCTTCCCCTCTACCTCACACTCCTGGGTGATGCTATCTGCCATGAAGGTGACATAGCCAGGAGGGCCCCTTATCTTGGAACGTTGAGCCAATGAAATATTTTCTGTCTGTCAAGCACTCAGCTTCCAAGACCTTGTTATACCAGTGGGAAACGGACCAAAGCACAGGGTTAGTTAAGACAAAGCTTTGAAAACACAGCATTATTTTTCTGAAAGAAGCAGAGGAGGGATCAGTTTGTATGGATGGTTTCATCGCAAAAGAAATAACTAGAAACCAGATGTGATGGTGCTAAGAGAGCCTTGCCAACCGCTTTCTCCATGCTCTGACCTGGAAGTTTATACCGGGTATTTCACTGTGTGGCTGCGTTGACCTACAGACGCTCGCCATGCGTCTTTGTTACCCTGACAATCCTTTTCACGTCAGGATGTGTGGGGATGGCTCCTGCCATGCTCATACCTTGGGAGCCTTGGGAAAGAGAAGTCTCTCTGTGCAGGTCTCTCTCCGTGGTCCTGGGGGCTGGGGTCATTCAGGACGACCTTCTGCACAGGATACAGGCCTCTCACCCTTGCCCCAGGAAGGACCTGCCCGGGCAGGGCAGGCTGGATGACTTGCTGGTAGGCTGTTGGAGGGTAGGCCTGAGCGTCTGTGGGTGAACGAGGAAATGGCAGAGAAGGTTGATTTGACTCCAGCTCCTGCAAGCCCTAGGCCATGCAAGCTCACGGAACAGTTTTCTCCTGATAGCAATTCAGGCTCCAAATATCAACCCACCTCCATATATTTGCCATATTCTGTACTACTAATTACTTCATAATATTCATGAAACTGATACACTTTTTTTTTTTAATGTAAAAACATCTGTGAAATCACATGTTTGACATTCTAGTTAGAAAACTCAAGGAAAATTTTCAA